TATATACTACGTGTAGTAATTCTATCCAAAAAGAGAATGAGGTTAATCAGACATGATTATTTATAAGTCCATGCTGACATAATTATTATATTTTTCTGTTTATTTAAAAACATCTTTTGGATAGTTCAGTCTACAATCTTGTCTGGGATCAATGCTATAATCTTTTCACTTATGGTTTGCAGATTTTACTATTTTAAAAAAATAAAATTTTTTAGTGGTAACCAGTTTTCTATAATTTCTAGCAGTTTTCCCATTTTTAATATATTTTGATTGATTTCAGAGAGGAAGGGAGAAAAAGAGAGAGATAGAAACATCAATGATGAGAGAGAATCATTGATTGGCTCCCTCCTGCATGCCCCCTTCTGGGGATCGAGCCCGCAACCTGGCCATGTGCCCTTGACTGGAATCAAACCTAGGACCCATTAGTCCTGTAGGCTGACGCACTGAGCCAAACTAGCTAGGGCAGCAGTTTTTCCATTTTTCCATGAACCCTCAGATTTCATTCAATGGTTTATTGGGTTGACCTGCAAGTTTTATCAAAATGCTGGAGTATAATTTGTTCAGGCCAGGAGTGGTGGATTCATTTAGAGCAGTCAGGTGCTTTCTCAAAATCTTTCTCTTCAGTTCCCTCTTGCAATGTTTATTTTACACTTTTTAATCTCAATATTATTCTTTTCAGTAGTAAAGACAGAAACATGTTATCCATTAATCATTACACCATGAATTTCAGCAATGGGACATTTCCTTCCTTGTTTTTGTCCCAAACTTCATTTTTTGGCAACAGCTTTATTGAGATACTAGAGGCCCAGTGCACAGATTCGTGCACTTGTGGGGTCTCTCAGCCTGACCTGTGGGGATCAGGGTGAAACTGGCTCTCCAACATCCCCTGAGGGGTCCCGGATTGCAAGAAGGCGGTTCTCGGGTGATGCACCCCAGAATTGGGCTCCCTCCTCTCTGGTTCCAGCTGCATCACCTGAGAACCGCAGCTGCCAGGTCACTGTAGCTCAGCAGCTCCTGTGTTGAGTGTCTGCCCCCGGTGGTCAGTGTGTGTCATAGCTACCAGTCGGAAGATCGCTTGGGTATATATATATATATATATTTCACCTATGATATAATTCACCTTCTTAAAGTGTACATTTCAAGAATTTTTAGTATATTCATAGAGTTGCATAGCCATCACCACTATATGATTTTAGAATATTTTTGTTGTCCTAAAAAGAAACCCTCTGACTGTAAAAAAAAAAGAAAGAAAGAAACCCTGTGCACATTAGCAGTCACTCCCCAAACTATCTTCCTAGCCCTAACTAATCTATTTGACTATATAAATTTGTCTGTTTTAGACATTTTGTATGAATGCAGTCATACAATATGTGGTCTTTTGTGACTGGTCTCTTTGACTTACATAATGTTTGTTTGTTTGTTTTTTAAAATCCTTACCGGGGAATATTTTCTCATTGATTTTTTTAGAGAGAGTGGAAGGGAGGGGGAGAGATGGAGAGAGAAACATCGATGTGAGAGAGAAGCATTGATTGGTTGCCTCCTACATGCACCCTAACCTGGGGCCAGTATTGAGCCTGAAACTGAGGTACATGCCCTTCACCAGAATTAACCCGGGACCCTTGAGTCTGTGGGCAGATGCTCTATCCACCGAGCCAAATCAGCTAGGGCAGCATACTGTTTTCAAGGTTCACCCATGTTGTATCATGTTATCAGTATTTCTTTCCTTTTAATTGCTGAATAATATTCCATTGCATGAGTAAACCACATTTTTTTTATTCCTTCATCAGTTGATGAACATTAATGTTGTTTCTACTTTTTGTCTCTTATGAATAACACTGTTATGAACATTTGTATCTAAATATACCTAGGAGTAGAGCTGGGTTTATATCTAGAAGCTGAGTCATGTAGTATATGTTTAACTATTTGAGAAACTGACAAAGTGGCTACAAATATGATATTCCCACTAGCAATGTATGAGGGTTCAGCCTTTTTCTTCACATCTTCATCAACACTTGCTATTGTCTATCTTTTTAATTATAGCCATCTTAATACTCGTGAAATAGCACCTCTTTGTGATTTTAATTTTTACTTTCCTGACACCTTATCATGTTGATCATCTTTTCAGGGGGCTTATTAGTGATTAGTATTTTTTTTTAAATCCTCACCTGAGGATATTTTTTCCCACTGATTACTAGAAAGAGTGGAAGGGAAGGAGGAGGGAAAGCGAGGGAGAAACATCTGCAGGAGAGCGACACATCAATAGGTTGCCTCTCACATGCACCCCTACCAGGGTCGAGGAACCTGCAACCTAGGTACCTGTGCTTGACCAGGAATCGAACCCGAGACCCTTTGGTTCGAGGGTAATGCTCTAACTACTGAGCAAAACTGGCCAGGTCTGATTTGTGTATTTTTGGGAGAAATTTCTAAAACATTTGCCTATTTTAAAGTTAGGTTGTATTTTTATTATTGAGTTGTTGGAATTCCTTGTATATTCTATATACAAGTCCCTTATCAAATATATGGTTTACAAATATTTTCTCTCATTCTGTTAGGTTGCCTTTTCTTTCTTTTTTTTGAGGGTGTCCTTTGAAGCACAAAAGTTTTTAATTTTGAAGACCAATATATCTATTTTTTCTTTTGTTGCCTATGCTTTTGTTGTCATATCTAAGAAGTAATTGCTTAATAAAAGAGCTCTCTTGATGTCATGTTACTTTTTAAAATTATCTTTCCCTTTCCTCCCATTAATCAGTTTCCTGTTAGAATACTGTAGGTGTTAAGAGTGAGATGTCAGACTGACTGAATTTGAGTTACTACTTGATAACTCTGTAACCACAGGAAAGTGACTTAACTTCTTTAAGCCTTGGTTTCTTTATCTATAAAATGGGGATAATACTGCTTATCTCAAAGGTTGTGGTGAGGATTAAAATGCTTAGTATAGAGCCTTACACATAGAAAGCAATCAATAATTGGTAGTTATTATTACTAAAAAAAATCTTCCTTGAGTTGAGTATTTTTGCTTAAATAAAAATATTTTACTAGGTAGGTGTTTTCTTGACTTTTTAACCACTGCATTAACTTGCTCATGGTAGAAGTTTAATGAATATCTGTTAAATTGATATGTAATATAGAGTGGCCCATTACGTTGAGAACTGGGGTGTGCTTGAGCTCGCTAAAGAAGTAAAAACAGAAGAGTCCTGGCCTGTGTGGCTCAGTTAGGTGGAGCATCATCCGTACCCCTACTTTATCCCATAGTAGGTTCCATTCCTGGTCAGGACACATGCCCAGGTTGTGGGTTCAATCCCAAGTTGGGGCATCTATGGATGTTTCTCTCTCATATTGATGTTTCTCTCTCTCTCTTTCCCCTCTCCCTCCCCCCTCTCTCCCTCCTTACCTCTCTCCTTCTCGCCCTCCTTCCATCCCTCTCTCCCTTCCCCCTTCCTCTCTCAAGTAAAATTTTAAAAAAGGAGGAGAAAAGAAAACTGAAAATAAATATTACTCACTTTATCATTTGGGCTTGATTAACCCTTGTAGAAAAAGAAGATGGGAAGATTATTTTTCCAGAGACATTTCAAAGGAAGATAGTGCTGAATATACAGAAGGCAGGGGACTAATTTAGAGAGAAAAATGGAAAAGTAAATCCCCACATGTTTGCTGGTGACATAGGCATTTTAGAAGAGATGCCAAAAGAGAAAAGTCCTATCGAGAGCAGCAGACTAATTTCGCATGGCTGTTCTCGGAACAATCTGAGATTTGTTCTTGACTGAGACAAGAGTCCTTTGTTCAAAAGCATTCCTTTATCACTTGGTGAGACTGTCATTAGTCCCCTCACCCTTATTACATAGATATGTGATTAGAAGCCGCAAAACACTCCCTAAAACCTATAATAGGGATTTCTGACCCAGAAATTTACTGGTATTTTTATTTATTTATCTAATTTATTTATCTAATTTATTTATCTAATAATAAACAAAGTGATTATAGCCTACCTCCACTTAACAATGTCTTGTCTTCTACTCTACACTATATTCTTAACCTCATATGAATACATGTCATATATTTAAATTACTCAAGCCAAGCAAATGATGTAATTTATGTTATCAATAAATATTCATAGAATGTATAAAAGTATGGTTAGATGAAATAAATGTTCTTCCTTCTGCTTCCTTCTTCCTCCAATTTTTGTCCAAATTTTACCAGTTCTTACAAATACTGCTCATATGCCAATCAGTATATATGATTTTGTGTGCAGATAATTTAAGGTTTTTGGTATTCAAGCTGTTTTTCCTACTATATTATAAACTTCTGCAAGTATGGGTCTGTATCTTGTCTTTGTATCGTCCATAACACAATGCTTTACACAAAGTTGATAAACGTAAGTATATTAAATGAATCATGTAATTTAATGATATAATGATATTTCTGGTGGGGATTTTTGGTATAGAATATTGAAGGTGTTAGTATTAAATAAATATGAGATATTAATAACCTCTTCTCTCCACAGCTTTTTCTTGGTATTACTAAAACTTTATTGATTGAGTGAATATCCAGTCCAGTGTATATTTCTCATCACAGGCTTCTATTTTTATTTTTTAATTGTTTTATTGCTTAAAGTCCAATGGTATTTATTTTTATTTTTTTAATTGTTTTATTGTCATCACAGGCTTCTGTATATAAAAAGGGGCAAGTTTTAAGCAAACCTCCCTTCCCTATTTTTCTCTCCCCTTTTCTGTTCCATTTCTTGCAGCTGTTTACCTTTTCACTATGACTCGTTCTTTCTACTTTTATTACTCCTGCCTCACCCGTTCTTACAATTTTAATGCTTTTTTAGAACTTTGTTTCCTTGTCACCTGCTTTTCCTATTTTTGTCTTTCTACTTGGCTTTCTCCTCCACTTGTTGCCACCTCTCCTTGCCCTCAAGGTACAGGGCAGGATTGGATAGGGAGGAGCCGAGCTGGGATAGGGGCGGAGCCACCTGTTCACCACTTGGGTATTCAGAACCTGACGCAGAAGGATCTGGCTGTTTAAGCATAGCTGGGGCTAAAGTCCCTATGGCATTCCTGCTGGAGGCTAGAATTCTGACAGACAATCTGGACTTGGTGAGATTAGTAGCTGTGGGGAAGCTCTCTTCTTTTTTGCTCCCCCTTTCTTCCTCCTTGTTCTGTATTTTTCACTCAAGTATCTCTCTCCATATTGTTTCTTTTTTCTATTTCTCTTTTGCTTAGTATTCTGTTTTCCTCTGTCTGTCTAGCTGTCACTCAACTCTATTTAGCATTTGTTTGCCTTTCTTTTTACCCATTTTCCCCATATATCTGTCCTGTCTCACAATTTAACTTTTCCTACCTCTTCTCCATTTTATTCTTCCCTTTATTAATTTTCTCATTTAACTCTGTGTTTGTTTGTTTGTTTCCACTCAGCCACTTTCTACCTCTCTATTATCTTACTGTTTTCCAGAGTGTAGCAGTAAGGGAGGAAGAAAGAAGCCGCCCTGCCTTTCCATGGTTCTAGTCAGACTTTCTGCTCATTCTCAGATTTATAGTGTGTTTTGATTAGGTACTGAAAAAGAGTTTGTGCTCTGCACAGATAGTTAATAAACAGTGAAACTGGAATAAGGTTGAACATTAAATGTAAAAGGCTTCGTTTTATTCTTATTTTCTCATTTTGTTTAGGTTTATTCTGCAATACAGTGGATACAATTTGTTATGGCTACTCTGAGGTACGTTTACATAATCTCATGTGATATGACTATTTAAACTAGTATAAGAAAAACTTGAGCCCTAACCGGTTTGGGTCAGTGGATAGAGCGTCGGCCTGCGGACTGAAGGGTCCCAGGTTCGATTCCGGTCAGGGGCATGTACCTTGGTTGTGGGCACAACCCCGGTGGGGAGTGTGCAGGAGGCAGCTGATCGATGTATATCTCTCATCGATGTTTCTAACTCTCTATCCCTCTCCCTTCCTCTCTGTAAAAAATCAATAAAATATATTTAAAAAAGAAAAAGAAAAACTTGAGAATTCTGAAAGTTTCTACATTTTCCACCCTGGGGATTTGCTTTTATTCTTTAGTTAGAGAGAAGTGTTGTTCTTTACCAAGTTGATATTTTCAGATTAATAAAATGTACCAATATCAACAACAATAAGACCAAAAAATACAGATTGAGGGCTAACTTCTGAAAATCAAAGGACAACTTGATCAATAGGATTTACTTAAAAAAATCAATAGTTTTGGTAGTACATATACTAAAAACTGGAATGAAATAGAGAAGATTGATGTGGGCCTTGCACAAGGATGACACCCAAATTCATGAAGCAGTCTATATATTTTTTTAAATATGTGCAGGTAATTTTACATCAATTATATGTCAATAAAGCTGTAAAAATCAATAGCGAACATGAAGGAACCCCAATTGTCCTGTTTTATTGATCTTTTATCTATGTTAGTATTATAGGTTCAAGTTCACTTATTGCTTATGCTGTATTCCAGAATATACAGAAATCTCCAGAGGTGAGCAATCTCTTTTTGTGTTGGATTTGAAATTTTAGTGACTTAGCTTTTGATATAATTAAGAGAGGTGTCACCTATAAATGATGGAATAATTCTATGAATCACTTATAAATTTGTCATGATCCGTTGAGATATTTTAGACAGTGTCAATAGGTCTCCCTTTTCTTCTAGGTAATTATTTTAATTATAACTTTGAACACAGAGATTGACTACTAAATATGGATTTTTTTGGTATGTATTATTAAGGTTAAGGAAACAGTGTAGTTTGGAACCTAGGTTCACTCTAAGTTTGGTAGGGTCCTGCTTAGAGGTGAGTTTTCTGATGTTAATATGTTGGTTAAGTTGCTAGAGGGGCTAGGAAATAGTTCAAAGACTTTGCTATACAAAATGTACTATTTTTGCTGTTCTGGCCTTCTATACAATTACAATTTAATGGTGAAAACAGCAAAAATACATCCTATGTAAAACTATTCATACCAAAAAGTTCAAGGCAAGAACCTTCCTTTTATTGAGGTATAGTTGACAAATATTGTATGTATTTAAGGTGTAATGAAACAAAAAACCTTCCTGATTCAGAGAGGACTAAGAAGAGTGATGAATTTTCTAGCTCAGAAAAGATTTTATGAGAAATGTAACAACTATTTCTTTAATGAGGCCAAATGGCACAAAACTAGGCAAAATGTAGTTTAGAACATATATGGGAGAACATATATGTGGAAAATGTCATTGGGTTTTGTTGGGCCCACTTTAATAACAAAAATAGTTCTGTATGTGGAACACTTACTGTGTTCCAACTATGCTGAGTGCCTTCTGGTCCTCATTACTCTTCTGTGAGAAGGATGGTGTAGCCCTATTTCACAGATGAGAAAATTGAGACCTTTAATTTCTCTGGCTTCAATTCTGACACCTTTCACATAACCAGAACCTAAAAGACCTTAGCAATCACTAGTTCAGTGGTTCCCACATACTCTGTTTTCTTGGCCTAGGAAAAATTCTAATTTTTCCAGGTTAAACATATAAGCCATACTTGGCTGTTTTCCTTTATTTCTTCCAGCAAAAACACATGGAAGGCATATCTAAAAAAGATAAAGTAGTCTATTAAATTAAAAATAATTATAGTGCCCTATCCGGTTTGGCTCAGTGGATAGAGCATCGGCCTGCGGACCAAAGGGTTCCAGGTTTGATTTTGGTCAGGGGCACGTACCTTGGTTGCAGGCTCCTCCCCTGCCCAGGCCCTGGTTGGGGAATGTGCAGAAGGCAAACAATCAATGATGTTTCTCTCTGTCTTTCCCTCTGTCTTCCACTCTCTCTAAAAGATTAATGGAAAAATATCCTTGGTGAGGATTAACAATAACAGCAAAATAATTATAGTAAATTGGAAAAATCCATGGGAAATCTAGAGGGGACAAGCTGATTAGACAGTGACTCAGAGACAACCTGAAACAGGAAGAAAGTGTCCCAGGCCAGCCAATGTTAAAAAAATACTCAGGGCAGATATAGTTCACTGCATGGCGTGTGACTTAATTTCCTCATAAAGATCACATTTGATACTTTGGATATTCTTTATTTTACTTGAATAGAAATATTGGGAAGCAGAGTTTTAGAAGAGTATTCGTATGAGTTGTTTTAGGTCTTTCACCTCAGCACGATAGACCTGGACCCAGACCGCTAGGGGAAGTCACACAGTGCTTTACCCCTACCCTATCCTCATTCTGCTTTTGCAGATGTGTGTGTGTTTGTGTATGCTTTAGAAAAGAGTCTTTGATTTTATATTTAGGATCTTGTCTTATGCCTTTTAAAAATATTTATCTTTATTGTTGAAAGTATTACAGATGTCCCCCTTTTCCCCCCCATTGACCCCTTCCCTCACCGCCACATGCCTTATGCCTTTTCTTCGTGTTTTCCTTATCAAGCACTGTGTTGATTATATTTCCCTAATACTGTACAATTTCTTTGTATTACCTTCAACATAGTATTTTACTAATAGGAGGGGTGAAATCTTTCTTGATCTCAATAATAGGTACTCAGTTAATTTTTGTTTAATTGATTGATTTTATCTCCTATTACTAGAACTAATGGTTTTCCAACCACGAGTGAAAATATGTAAACCCCTTCCTTTTCCCTGACAAAAACTTTAAGTATGCTTTAGTGGCTAACAGGTCCCTATATATAAGGTTATTTCTTGAATCAATGACCATAATTATGTTCTTGTTTATAAAAGCCACTTGGCTGCCTCTCTCCTCCAGAGTTTATTTTATATTGTTTTAATTTTTACCCATTAACAGTTATAAACTTGTGGTAGGTCATAGGCCACTTTCATCTATGAATGCGCTATCTGCCTGTACTTTTAGCAGGCTTACCCACAGTGTATGCTATATGCGGTGAAAATAATACTATCTGATGTTTATTAAATACAGTTTAAAATGTTATTAATTCACTTGTTTTTGTTCAAGGCAACTTAACCATTTACCCCTATTAGCAAGTACTAGCATCTTAACTTTCTTCTCATTTGGAAGATAGGCATGAGAAAATTTCCTTTGTATAGGTGAGATTAGTTTATTGTTGTTTTGTTTTTTTAAATATATTTTATTGATTTTTTACAGAGAGGAAGGGAGAGGGCTAGAGAGTTAGAAACATCCATGAGAGAGAAACATCCATCAGCTGCCTCCTGCACACCCCCTACTGGGGATGTGTCCGCAACCAAGGTACATGCCCTTGACTGGAATCGAACCTGGGACTCTTCAGTCCACAGGCCGACGCTCTAGCCACTGAGCCAAACTGGTCAGGGCTATTGTTGTTTTTTAATCCTCACCCAAGGATATTTTCCCATTAATCTTTTAGAGAGAGTGGAAGAGAGAAGGAAAGACAACTTAGTTTTGATTGTTTTTGCATTTGACATAGATATTTTTTGTATGTATTGTTTTGTGATTTGCTTTTTCTCCTTAATATTATTTGTGCCACTTATCCATGTTGTTTTATATATCTCTGGTTCATTTCATTTTCATTAATGTTTAGCATTCTATATTATGAATCTACTACAATTTATCAACCTGTGCTGCTATTAACAGTCTTGTACGTGTCTTCAGGTGCACACATGCAAAAATTTCTCTAATGTCTTTTTCTAATAACAGAATTGTTATAGAATATGCATATATAGAATAGGACCTAGATCATGCTAAACTTTTCCAAATGGTTGTATGTAATTTTTTTTCCTCATTATGCTTTTAATTTTCATTTCCTTGATTATTGGTGTGGTCAGGTATATTTTCATGTGTTTATGGCCATTTGGATTTCCTCTCTTCTTAAGTACCTGTTCAAATCTTTTGTCCATTTTTTTCGGTTGGGTTTCCTTATTGCTTTGTAAGTTCTTTGTTTGTTTTTAATATTGTTTGGATATTGGTCCTTTGTCAGTTATATGTGTTGCAAATATCTTCTCCCACTTTGTGGCATGTCTTTATACTTCATGGTGTATTTTAACACATGCTTTTTTTTTTTCATTTTAATGGGGTCAAATTTTCCAATTACTTCATTTTGAGCTTTTTTTTTAAAATGTATTTTATTGATTTTTTACAGAGAGGAAGGGAGAGAGATAGAGAGCTAGAAACATCGATCAGCTGCCTCCTGCACATCTCCTACTGGGGATGTGCCCGCAACCCAGGTACATGCCCTTGATTGGAATCGAACCCGGGACCTTTCAGTCTGCAGGCCGACACTCCATCCACTGAGCCAAACCGGTTTCGGCAACTTTTTGTGTTTTGGTTAGGAAAACTCTCCATAACCAGAAGTCGAAAACAATTTGATCTTTTAAACTAGTTGAAACTGATTTTTGAGTGTGAGATAAAAACCATGGGACCCTTTGGTCTACAGGCTGATGCTCTATCCACTTTTATTCAATAGATACCTGATTTTACTTTTATCCAATAGATATCCAATTGTTATAGTATATTTTGAGAAGACTATCTTTTTTTTCCATTGATCTAAAAAGCCACCTCTACCATATGTCAAAAGTCTGTATACATGCTTGGGGTTGTTTGGGGCTCTCTATTCTGTTTCATTGGTCTGTTTGTTCATCCCTGTGCTTAGGACCACAGTATCTGTGCTCTAGCTTTACATTAAGTTTTGATATGTGTAGGACAAGTCCTTCTCCTTTTTCTTTGAGTGTCTTGCTTGTTTTTCTTCAAGAGTTTACCTTGATATTTTGTAACTGTCAGTTAGATTTAGAGCCAGCTTGTTAAATTTCACAAGAAAATATGTTGAGATGTAATTGAGATTGCATTTAACCTATATATCAATTTAGGAAGAACTGACATTTCTATAACACTGGGTCTTATAATCCATGAGCATGGTATATTTTTTCACTATAGATCTTCCTTTGGTATCTCTCAATAAATATTTTATAGTTTTCTCTATAGGAGGACCAAAACTGTTTTTAGAAAAGTGGGAGTAGGGAGATAAAAAAGAGAGGAGGATACTAGAAAGTGAGAAAGGCAGACTTCACCAATGTGGTTAGAAATTCATAGTCAACATATACAATTTATTCTGATATTTTCATTGATATGGAAACTTATAAGATAAACTAGAGGCCCGGTGCACGGATTTGTGATTCTATGTTTACTTTGATTCTATGTTTGAGGAAGGAGTGTCTATGAGGAACAAGGGCCAATGCTAATCCATAAGTACTCTGATTCCGGGACAGTTAGGATAGTTGTGATAACAGATTCCCTCCTACCTGGTGTATTCCTTTACATTCCTCACAGTCAACCAGTGGGACAGGCTCCAGAAAAACAATGCCCAGTTTCTACTAAAAAGGTGAAACATAAAAATAATTCCTTGTTAGCATCATTTATGAAATGAGGCTTTTGTTGCTTTGACAGATGAGGCCACTCTTTTATCTGAGCTTCTCTGACCTCCTCCTGGGGATATGCTGGCTCATTGAAGCACTTCTCTATGGAACTTCAGCAGCCAATAAGGACATTGTCTGCTATAACCTGCAAGCAGTAGGACAGGTGAGTACTGCTAGATTGTGACTGTACATTACAAGAAAGGCACACTCAGATAAATAGGAAGCAAAAAAATAATACAGTCTGGGAAGTGGGACCCTTTTGTTTATTGTCACACTTTGACACAATAGCTTTTATTGTTTTTCATAGTAAAAAAAATTACTTGTTTATTATAGAAAATTTGAAAAATCCAGATAGTCCGGCTGGAGTGGCTCAGTTGGTTGAGCGTCATCCCGTGCACTGAGAATTTGCCGGTTCTATTCCCACTCAGGGCACATCCCTGGGTTGTGGCTTTGATCCCCAGCTGGGGAGCCTATGGAAGATAACTGATCCATGTTTCTCTCTCTTTCTCACTCTCTCACTCTCTCTCTCCATCCCTCTTTCTCTTCCCACCCTCCCTCCCCACCTTCCTGTCTCTAAGCATGTCCTCCAGTTAGGATTAAAAAAATAATATTTTTAAAAGAAATTGCACAACTTTAAAAAAATGTATTTTTATTGATTTCAGAGAGGAAGGGAGAGGGAGAGAGAGATAGAAACATCAATGATGAGAGAGAATCATTGATTGGCTGCCTCCTGCACGCCCCCTACTGGGGATCGAGCCCGCATCCAGGGCATGTGCCCTTGACCAGAATTGTAGGCTGACACTCTCTCTGCTGAGCCAAAATGGCTAGGGCGTGAGAGAGAATTATTGATTGGCTGCCTCCTGCATGCCCCTGATCAGGAATCAAACCGTGACCTCCTGGTTCATGGGTGGAAGCTCAGCCACTAAGTCATACCAGTCAGGCATGGGCTCCATGCTGTAAATATCTGTGTGTAACTTTTGTGTGCATATAAGTTTTTAAATCGTTTAGGGGGAAAGGCATGATTTCTGGATTCTATGGTAAACTTCTGTTTAGGTTTGTAAAAAACTGCCGAACTATCTTCCAAAATGCCTGTAGTCATGCTTCTTATAATGGTGTTTGGGCAACAAAGGACTGCATATATGACGTTGTTCCCTACGATTATAATGGAGCTGAAATATTCCTATTGCTTAGTGACATCGTAGTTCATGATTTCAAAGGATTTTTCAAGGAATAGGAGGTTGTTGAGATCAGCAAGGCTATGGCCGAGATGGCTAACAACTTTAACCTGGGTGTGGATGAGGATGACATTGAGGAGCTCCTGGAGGTGGCTTCTAAGGAATTGACTAATGAGTTGTTGGAACTGGAACAGGAACGCATAGCTGAAGGAGAGTCAAGAGAAAAGTAACTGTAAGAGAAAGAAAAGAAGACTCCTCCCAAGAAAATTCACATGAAGGGGTTAGCAGAAGCTTTTGCAGACCTCAACAAGCTCCTTAAGAGTTTGAAAACATAGACCTCAACACTGAAAGGTTTTTATTAATACCGAGGAATATTCATGGTACATTATCTGTTTACAAGCAAATCTATAATGAAAAAAAGAAACCTAGCAAACCACCATGGATGTATATATGAAAAGAATGACACCTCCTCAAGAAGAGCCTCAGACAGCTCCTTTAGTGTTCCAGAAGAAGGCATTGTTGTCCTGGGAGAGGACAGCTTCATGAATGGCCCTGAAGACCTTCAGTGGGACAAGATGTGGAGGTGGAAGGCAGTGATGTTGATGATCCTGACCCTGTGTAGGCCTAGGCTAATGTATTTATTTGTGTCTTAAATGTTTAAAACATTAAAAAATAAAACCATTAACAATAGGAAACACTTTATAGAATGAGAATATAAAGAAAGAAAAGGGTTTGTACAGCTTTACAATGTGTTTGTTTTAAGCTGTTATTACAAAGAGTCAAAAAGTTAAGAAAAATTTTGAAGTTTATAAAGTAAAATGTACAGTAAGCTAAGTTTAGTTTATTGAAGAAAGAAAATATTTTTTATAAATTTAGTGTAACGTAAGTGGTAAAGTATTTATAAAGTAGTGTACAGTAATGTCATAGTCCTCCACATTCATTCACCACTCACTCACTGACTCATCCAGAGCAACTTCCAGTCCTGCAAGCTCCATTCATGATAAATGGCCTATGCAGGTACACCGTTTTTAAAATCTTCTATATTTTTACTGCATCTTTTTAATGTTTAGATACACAAATACTTATCATTGTGTTATAGTTGCCTGCACGATTCAGTACAGTCACATGCTGTACACATTTGCAGCTTAGGGGTAATAGCTATACCATATAGCCTAGGTGTGTAGGAGGCTAGACCAGTGGTCAGCAAACTCATTAGTCAACAGAGCCAAATATCAATAGTGCAGCGATTGAGATTTCTTTTGAGAGCCAAATTTTTTAAACTTAAACTATATAGGTAGGTACATTGTTATTA